AATCTCTTGGCTTTTATCATACACCAAGTCATGTCAAGTAACATCCTATTTCTTCTCTCCGTAATTTTATTGTGTTGGGGTGTGTATGGAGCTATCACCTAATGATTTATTCCCTTGGATTAACAAAACTCAGTAATTTCTCTTGAATTGAACTCACCCCCTTCATTAGTTCTAAACACTTTTAGTTTCAGACCTGATTGCCTCTCTGTTGATGTACATAATTTCAAAAAACAACCAAACACTTCTTTCTTTTCTCTTAACAAATAGAGCCATATTTTTTTGGTCCATTCATCCACAAAGACCGAAAAATACTTGTTGCCTCCACATGAGATTACATAAAAGGGGACACACACATCCGAATATACCACATCAAACAACTGTTTTGATCTCTTAGGTGCAGATTTCTTAAAATTTTTTCGAGTCTGTTTGCCAACGATGCAACCTTCACAGGTTCTGTCCGGGGTATGAATTAGTGGCAGTCCACTCACAAGTTTATTGCTGCTTAATTATTCTAAACTTTTGAAGTTTAGATGCCCAAATCTATAGTGCCAAAACCATCATTCTTCTTCAGCATTCACCGATGCTAGACACTGAATAGATGTTGTATTTAAATTGATTTTGAAAGTTTTGTTCCGTGACAGAGGGGCCTTGAGAATCAACATTTTCTTACCATCATATACCTCTATGTGACCTTGAATCATGGACATAGTATAACCCTTCTCCAGTAGTTGTCCCAAACTCAACAAGTTATTCTTCATAATCGGAACATACAACACATCATTCATGTAGGCAATCTTACCATCCTTTCGAGTGATCATGATTCTGCCAACTCCCTCTGCAGTGATTGTGATGTTGTCTGCAAATCTAACACTGCTTCTCATACTTGGGTCAAGATCTATGAGTCATTCTCTTCTATCGGTCGTATGGTTGGAGCATCCCGTGTCCAAATACCATCAAGATTCATCTTCTCCACTATTAGTTGTAACCATGAGTATAACATGATCTGAATCTAAATCACCTTCCTCTTGTGCCAGGTGAGTTGCATTATCTTTCTTGTTGGATTTAGTGGAGTCATTATGCCAACATTCATAGGAATAATGGTCAAACTTATCACATGTATAACACTGAACCTTCCTCTTATCATAAAGTTTCTTGCCTCTACCTCTGTCATATTTTCTTCCTCTGTTACTATCTTTCTAGTTTGTACCAGATTCATCATCTGATAGTTCAGAGGATTCACCAGCTCTGCCACTGCTTCTGCTGTAATTGCATGATCTTCCTCTTCCTCTCCTTTCACCACATCCTCGTGATCGGTGATTTACAACCCTGGTTTGGAAAGCCTGATCAACACTCTTCTCATGATTCTTTCTCTCAATCAACCGTTGTTTATGAGCTTCCAGCGAATTCTGCAATTCCTCAATACTCATTTTCGCAAGATCTTTGTACTCTTCAATGGCGACAACAATGTGATCGAATTGAGGCGTTAAGGTTCGCATAATTTTAGCCACCATTTTGTTGTTTTTCGCAGGCTTATCTAAAGATCGCATGGAATTAACTATAATCTGCAACCTTCCAATATAATCTGCGGTTGATTCTTGATCAGTCATACCCAGTAACTCATGTTGCCGTTGTAACGATTACAATTTAAATTCTCTAGTTTTTTCAGAGTTGGCATATGTTTCTTCTAGGATATCCCATATTTCTTTAGAAGATGTGGCTGTGGAAATCTTCTGGAAAATAGTAGCAGAAACGCATTGGTGCAACAACATTCGAGCTTTGCAATCAAGCCTCCGATGCTCCTTGTATGCATTCTTCACTTCATTCGTAACATTCTTGGATGGTTCTTGCAATCCCTTCTTGACAATATCATCCACCTCTTGGAATCCAAGAATGACGTCCATCTTCACGCACCAATCCCGATAACCCTTGACATCGAACACGGGCAAGTTTCCAGCAATCACCCCTCCAACTAGGCATGACAACGGGCGAGGCGGGCGGGTTTTGTCTTCTCGATCCCCGCCCCGACTTTTTTAACCATCTCCGTCCCCACTAGGTTTCGGGTTCCCCATTCCTGCCTCGTTCTCAATCTATATTATTTTTAAAAAGATAATTACATTTATAATAAATTAATTTTACTATTTATTTTTTATATATAACTAAATATTTATAATTTTATAATTTATAATTATTATTAATTAAATATACATTTTAATTTACTATATTTATATTAAAATATATATGTAAAATAAATATTTAATCATTTTTTATTTATAATAAAATTATTATTATTATTATAATATCTGTATTGAAATATTTGAATACTTATAACATTATTATTATAATATTGTATTCAAACATTTGATTATATATATAAGTTAATTCATTTTTAAGTTGTCATTTAAAAATATGAAATATATAGTTTATAAAGAAATATTTAATAAGTTAATTCTTATTCAATTAGTTCGAAGTAATAAAAATTTAAATTATCAATTCCTTTAATCCTTTAAAATACAATTATTTTATTAAGATAAAATTTGATATATGATAAATAAGAATAATAAGATAAAAAAAATATGACATAATAAAATCTAATAAATATAAATTATAAATAAAATAATATTAGTTACTATTAAGATTTATGTAAAATATTTAGAAAAAGATAAAAAAAAATTAACTTTGTGTTCATCAAATTGGTTAAAAAGATTGAAAAAAAAAAACAAATTGATGGGAGAGATTAAGGAAATGTGAAAAAACTGAAAGGTACGGAGAGAATATTGTAATAAATTAATTGATATAAAAGATTAAAAAAGATAAAAAAATTAAAAAGTGGGTAGAAGAAAAATAAAAATCGGTGATATATAAAAAAATGACTTTATATGTAATAGAAAAAGAAAAGGAAATACTTTTAAAATATTAATATTTTAAAATTTAAATTAAAATATAAAGTCGAGGCGGGACGGGGTCGGGGTCGGGGTCGGAGTCGGGGTCGGGGTGGGGATTATAATACCCGTCCCCATCCCGCCCCCGACTTTTTAAAGCAGGGAAAACCCGAACCCGCCCCCGCCCCCCGTCAACTCGGGTTTTCCCCGTCAAACTCGGTACGGAGGCGGGTCGGTCCCCACGGATATAAGTTTAATTGTCATCCCTACCTCCAACAGCCATGAAAGTGTTACGCACAACAAAGCTTCAAGATCACTGTTCTACATAAGAGTGCACCACACTCACTTGATCGTCTTGAAATACTGAGAGTAGAGAAAGAAAGTAGAGAAAGGGTATTTAATGCATACAAATACTGAGAGTAGAGAAAGAAGAATGTAAATTTCTTATTGACAATAACTATATAGATACAAGAGTGTTTTATGTATATATAGAACTCTGGTTAGAATAAGTGTTTTAATGCAGTTATTATTGTTAGTATATTGATTACAATAACACAAATACAATATACCACTAAAAACTTATATATGTGGAGGCCAGGGCATGGCAACAGGGTGGATATTGCTTCCTCGATCCTCGTTCCCGATTTTTTTAATCATCCTCGTCCCCACCCCCGATCCCCATCGGAGTTAGAAATTAAGTCCTCATCCCCGTCCTCGCTAGGTTCCTAGTTCTCCACCCCGTCCGTCCCCGATCTATATTATTTTTAAAAAAGTTATTACATTTATAATAAATTAATTTTATTATATATTTTTTATATATAAATAAATATTATAATTTTATAATAATTATTAATTAAATATATATTTTAATTTATTATATTTATATTAAAATATGTATGTAAAAGATATATTTAATCATTTTATATATATATATATATATATTAGAATATTTATAAAATTATTATTATTATTATTATTATTATATATTCAAACATTTGATTACATATATAAGAAAATATTTAATAAGTTAATTCTTATTTAATTAGTTTGAAGTAATAAAAGTTTAAATTATCAATTTCTTTTAATCCTTTAAAATACAATTATTTTATTAAGATAAAATTTGATATATGATAAATAAGAATAATAAGATAAAAAAATATGATATAATAAAACCTAATAAATATAAATTATAAATAAAATAACATTAGTTACTACTAAGATTTATGTAAAATACTTAGAAAAAGATAAAGAATAAAAAAAATTAACTTTGTGTTCATCAAATTGGTTGAAAAGATTAAAAAAAAAAACAAATTGATGGGAGAGATTAATGAAATGTGAAAAAAAATGAAAGGTAGGAGAATAATGTAATAAATTAACTGATATAAAAGATTAAAAAAGAAAAAAATTAAAAAGTGGGTAGAAGAAAAATAAAAATAGTGAAATATAAAAAATGATTTTATATGTAATAGAAATAGAAAAAGAAATACTTTTAAAATATTAATATTTTAAAATTTAAATTTAAATATAAAATCGAGGTGAGAACGAGGTCGGGAGTGGGGATTACATTATCCATCTCGTCCCCGCCCGACTTTTTAAAGCGAGGAAAATTCAAACTTGTCCTCGCCCCCAACCAACTCTGGGTTTTCTCGTCAAACTCGAGACTGGGACGGATCGGTCCCCACGGATACGAATTTAATTGTCATCCCTACCCTCCACCCCTAATATTAATATTGTGCAAACTCATAAATTTAAACACTACATGGTTTAATTTATTTTTTCAATTTAAAAAAATAAATTTAGAGATTAACTTAAATTAGCACAAATTATTTGATAAATATATTTGCATACCTCTACTAATATATTTGCTAAAAACATATTTAGTGAGAGATATTTTAAACATCTTTACTAATATATATTTGATCAGTTTTTTGGGTTTTGATTGATTAGATGGATTGGTGAACAGTCATGTGCGTTGGATTTGTTGTGTTTCTTATGGCTATGATTGGTAACATTCCCTACCTCTACCTAGTGTTTGTGTTTGTGCTTAGCAATGTATGACGATGGGGAATAAGGAGGTAGTAAGATCAGTTGAGTTGAGTATCCAAGTGATTTGAACGTTCAATGCAAGTGAATGCGCACTTCTCTCTACAAAAATTCGCCACCTATGCACTGCGTGTATTGAAAACAGTTAAGGTTGTAAAAAATGTAGATGTAAATGGTGAAGCACGCGCAATGCGTTGGACAGGGTGATCCATCCTACAAACATGAGGTCGCCAAAACATTAAATGTCTTTTGAATAATATTATAATAACTCTCAAACAAAAAACTAACTTTTAAGTTATAAACCAAACTCAAACATATCATTAATATTTGAATTATTTGCATCAATAACTTTGTTCTATGACGAAGTTTACGTTAACATAATATTTTTATTTATAAATAATTATATTAAAATACTCTTAGTTCTCTGTATATCTGTGTCTAATAATGAACTTGAACATGAAAAAAAAAGAAGAAAAAGAAAAACTCAAGTCAGCTAAAATTTAATAAGAAATTTGAACATAAGTTACTTCTTATGTTCTTTACAAATGTAAGTTTTTTCTTTAAAAAAATTAAGAAATAAAATAAAACCTTTTGACATTATTAAAATATATAAGAATTTTTATTTTACTATTTTCTTTATTTTATATATATATATATATATATATATATATATATATATTGTGTTTAAATATTAGATGAATAACAAATATATAAATAATAACAAAAATATAATTTTATTTTATCTTAAATTTTGAATATTTATAATTAAATAGAGATAAAAATCTTTCAAAAATCGTCCGTTATTTTTTTTAAAAGAGATAATGCTTTTAAAATACAAATTAGATATATTTTTAAAATTAATTTTATTAAACGGAAACATTCGCATTAGTAACCATTTTCTTTGCTATTATTCATTTATTGTTTATATTTTCCTAGCAATTCATTTGGTTTATTTTCTATGGAGAATGGGAAGCATATGAAACAAGATATAGTGTTTTTCTTTTTCTTGTTTTTATGTAAAACATTTGACATGCTTGCGTATGAAAATGACTTAAATGTCTTCAAATAAGAAAACGGAATATATTACAATTACTTTGTTAGAAATAACTACATTTAAAAGTAATTATTTCTACTAGCTAATATGTTTGAACTCGATGATAGTTTAGTTTATGTGAAGGAGATGATTCTCTTTACTATAAACATTTTGTTAGGGACCCTATTCCATAACTACAAAGATTATATACACTCCCCCCCTTTTTTTCTCCCTCTTCTCCTTTGTAACCTCATCCAAATCCACCTTAAAAATAAGTATATAATGAGATATCACTTATTGTCTCTCTCTTTTTATTAAATTTCTTCCTTTCCTTTTGTAAAAAAGGAATAAAATTTTCAGGACTCAAGAGGAAACTGTGTCCATGCACAAAAGCAAAGACCAAATAACTAGGAAAAGAGCAGAAATCAAACAACAATGACTACTTAAAAGTAAAGGAAAAGACAAAGCACATGCATTCTTCAATTCTTGGGCAAACTCATGGAACTGACCCTAATGCAAATTTATTTTACCTACGATCTTTGTACATCAAAGTCACCAAATTAACACACACTCGTGTCTGCTTTCTTTGGCTTTGAATTGCGTCACGTAAGGAAATTGTCTTTAAGTTCCAGATCATCACAAATTTGTCGCATAAGCCACAGATTCTCATCATCCCAAAAACTCTCCATTAAGTCCCCACCACCTAAAGGCACCGTGACAGTCCCCTGTTCCAAGTCTTCACATCCGCCCCAAATTGAAACATTATAACCCAATTCTTCAGAATCCAAGGTTGTGGAACCTGAACACGAACCGTGTGACCCGATTTGGTGATGGACCGGGGGATCCGGGATCAAGTCAAGTTTGGAGGATGGCACATGGGGCGGGTCGTGAGTTTCCGATGATGGTTGAATCCGCTCAATCAAACGGGGCATCCACACGTAACGCAAGGCATCTTTGAACTGTTTACTGTCGACGTCACAGTTGAGATTCCTTGCTTGCTTAATCACTCGAGTCCTCCAATAATTCTTTATTTCGTTGTCTGTTCTACCGGGAAGATGCCGAGCAATTTTCGACCACCTATGAAATATTATTAAACGTGATCATGCAAATGAAGAAAAAAGAACAACCATATTAACAAGAAACATGTTGCAGTTCATTACCTATTGCCCCACCGAGAGTGAAGGTCAAGAATGGTTAACTGTTCCTGGAGTGTTATATTTCCACGACGAACATCAGGGCGCAAGTAGTTTAACCATCTTAGCCTGCAACTTTTCCCCGATCTCTTAAGGCCTGTAATAAGAAAAAGTTCATTTTATTAGAATTGACAATGCTGAGAGAGTTTGACAGCGTATGAAGAGAGTATGATAAGTTCCTGCAGAGCGTGCGACGGAATTCCAACGACCCTCGCCGTAGGTGGCAACGTAGTTTTGGAGAATGGTGTCCTCTTCAAGGCTCCATGGACCTTTTCTAATGTCTTCACTATTCTGCTTCTGTTCTGTGGGCAGTGATTTCTTCATGTTAATATCCATTATTTTTCTCTTCTTTATAGATAGGAACACAATTTCTTATCAGGGTGGGCATGGTCTTTGGGACTGTGACATGTATATACTGTGGGGATGAGATGAGACAAGACAAATTGGGAATGAAGGAGATGGATTTTGGTTTGTTCTTCCAGCCTCAAGTATTATATATAGCAAAAAGTGTCACCTTTCTTTGGTACCCGGTTTAAAGATTTTACTTTTTTATTGGTTATTTAAGATAGGATTAACTCTTTTTTTTTTTCCCACACAGGTGTTTGTGTCTCACAAAGTATGTGAAATAATTACTTTACATATTAATTTTGAAATTGAAAATCAAAAAATTGCCATCTTAAAAAACTTACAATTTTATAAAAATTCACAAACTATAAAGTCAAATTGACAAATATATATAAAAATTTAATAAAAAATATCATTTAAACATAATTTATATTATATTATGTCATTATTTAGCTTATTGTTTGTGTACACCAATCACTAGATAAAGTTATAAATTATCATGTTTTTATACTATGACATTTTTATTTTATCATATCTTATTCTCTTTTGCATCAACTAAGTCCTAAACACTCAATTTTTTTAAATAGATAACTTTAACTAAATTATGCCAATATATATTATATTTAAATAATTATTTTTTGTATTATACAAAATTATATAAGGTTATAAAATAGTTTAAAATATATAAATAAGAATTATTTAATATAAAATACATATTAAATGAAAAGTAATAATATATATATATATATATATATATATATATATATATATATATATATACGTGTTTTATATTGTATATATACAACTACTATCAATTTAAGGTAATTGTTTTGAAAAAAAAATTGTTATATAATTAAAAAAAATTAAAACTCTTTTAAAGGGTTAATTATTATTATATTTTCAAAGTTCAAACTTAACATCTCCATAAAAAAAAAATATTTCCAGTTTTTTTTTATGTAGCATATTTGTAATGTTTGTTTTTAAAATGTTTTAAACATTTTTATAATTTTAAAAGTAAAATAAGTTGTAATAAGTAAAAAGGTGTAATAATTATAAATAATCAAACCAACTTAGAATAATAACAATAATACAGTGTAATCACTATACATAGTTTTAATATTTATTTCTTAAACAAAATACCTCCCATTTATAAATTCTCATGCTTGATTTTGATATAATTAAACCCATAGCTTTTATAAATAAATAAAAAATATTGACAAAAATACTTATTAGAGATAATTACATGAATTTCTTATATTTCTTAAACACTATACATAGTTTTAATTATTTATTTTTTTACAGAACTCCCTTTTATAGTTCTATTATATATAAATTACAGCTAAATATTTATGTACTATTAAAAAATTGATATTATAATATTTGAACAATAAAAATCAATATAATTATAAATTATCAATAACAAAATTACCAGTAACAAGGGTTATTACTATAATAAAAAAGTACGAAATTTTTAATCTTAATCACATGGGTTAATAAAATAGATTTTTATTATTTATTTCTTATAAACTTTTATAAAAATAATAACGTATTTCATCTAGTTAAGTTTAACTATGTATGTTATTAAAAATTAAAAACAGTAAAAACGATAATTTATTTTATAATTTTGATGTCACTTTAATGTTCAAAATTTGACTTATAGAAGGTTTTGAATCAAAATGCATTTTTGACAGAAGAAAGAATGTAGTATTTAACAAATACGAGGAGAATTATATATTTTTTTAGGAAAGTGAGTTATATAATATTACAACATCTACAAGATAGACGTTTTTGTTAAGTACATCACAAAACAATCTTGTATTTAAATGTAGCGTATTAGGAAAATATTTTGTTTTTTTACTTTTAAAACGAGCATATTTTTTATAAGAAAAATAATTCGGGTGATTTATTCTAAAATATAGTAAGATAAAATGTATTTATAATAATTTGAAAAAAATTTATTTTTAATTTCTGTACAAATATTTTTTTAATGTTCATGTATATTAAAAATTAATATAGTTTGTGTTTTTTTTAATATAAATATGTTAAATATTAAAGGAATTAAAATAAAAAATTAAAATATTTTAAAAAAATTAAATAAAGTTATCAAAAAAACAGATTCAATAAGACCAATATTTTAAAATAAGTTATAATTTTTTTTAATTAATTTTATATAATCAAATAAAATATAAAAATTTAATTTGATCTATTATGATTTTTTTAAACTTAATTTTATGTTAGATCAATGGATAATTTTTATTTATTAAAAATAAAAATATATTAACATATTTATATAAAATATTAATTAAAAATATTTAAATAAATAAATACATTTATTTTTAAAATTTAAATTATATTAATAAAAATATTTATTGTAAGTATAAATAATATAATAATTTATATTAATTGTTAACTTTGAGAAAAGGGAATGTTTGAACTCACTTTTATAATTACTTTTAAAATAAGTAAATTTTTTTATCAAAATAATTTATAATATATATATATATATATATATATATATATTTAGTAAAATATTTTTTTTAAATTATTATTATTTTATAAAATAATCCATAAACCTATAAAATCAAAATCAAAATATTCTGATTTAATTTAGATTATAATTTTTTAAATATATATATTAGAGAATAATTATTGAATTAATTTTTTATTTTTATTTTTTTATTTCAGGGTTAGTGTGAAACATGTTGCATTATAACATTACTGACAATATGACTCTTTATTATTGCTGAAGGACTTGGATAGCTTATGTTTTAGTTGTAGAAATCACGGACTTTAACTGATTATTTATTGAGTTAGATACGCGTTTACCGAATGTAATTTGGTATAATCCACTAATATCAGTCATGAAAGTTGAGATATTTAGTATAACCCACCAGAGTCTGTCTATTAAAAGTAATCTCAATGTTATACCCATACTTTAACATATTCTTTATATTATTCTTAATTTTAAAATTTTATATTAATTTTATAATAACTAATTATCTGTTATCAATTAATTTGTAGAAATATTGTACAAAAGCATTGTCAATAATTTATACTGAAAAATTTCTCCCTTTAATATACTCCCTGTATTTTAAATAATAGTCTACAAGTTGGGTATGTGGGGGAATGGTCAAAAGTTTGAGAAAAGTAAAATAAATTAATTTACTGGCAAATGGATGAGCTCCAAGATCATCCAGAATAAATGCCCAGACCAAAACATTTACTTGCAAGGTATGTGTGCATTTTTAGGTAAAAGTTAATAACAAATTTAAATTATATTTGGGATACCAAGTTAAGAAACTATTTATACAACTCAAGGATTAAAAGACTTATGATTTTAATAATATTTTAATATTATTTGTTACGTTTTAATTACTTATAATTAATATTAATATGTTCTTTTATGAGCAAATTAGACGTTAAGTTATTGCACTCTAAAGTTAGAACACCATAAATTTCAAGAAAAATATAATAATACTTCTAGAATAGTTTGCTAAAGGTTAAGCATGTTTCCTTAAGCAAGAGACATGGATTAATTATTAAATATAAAGGGAATAAAAGAGAATATATTCATTTGACCGCTTTTGGACATTATTAAGTTGTTTAATTAATATATAGTGAGATAGTCATCAAAATTTCAAATATCCATACAGAACTAATGCCAGGAATATTATTTCTACAGAAACAGCTCTTCACTCTTATCATTAAATATTTTCTTTATTTTGTCTCACATTCAACGATTTGATACTTTGATGTGGAAATGTTTCTTCCAAATGTTTGATATATTAGAAAAGTGGGATTTGGAAGCTGAGGATAATGGTCAAAAGTCCGAGAAAGTAAAAATAAAAAAGAAGCAAATGAATCAGCCAAAAGGATGAGCATTGAGCACCAAGTTCATGGAGAATAAATGCCATGACAAAAAAAAAACAAGACTTAACACAAAATGGTTGATTGTGGTAGTCCAAATATTCTATTATGGTCAAAGAAAACTTTTTTTTTTTTGGATCTTATATTTATTCATCCTACTCATTTGGCATTGACTAGATTTACTTCATTAGTGAAATGAGAATTATTCTAATTTTTAGTGGTATATATATATATATATATATATATATATATATATATATATATATATTCAAATGCAAATATAATAATATAATTTTTCTTCCCTTCCCCCTTAAGATTAATACTTTCAAAAACATTATATGTCCGAAAACTCACTCTTCAGATATAATTTTGTTTTCATGAAAGAATGTATTTTTTTTACATTGCTTCTTGTAGACGAGAAGGGTGACGAAGGTACGAAACCGTACTATCTGGTAAATTTGTATTAGAGAAACAAGACAGAAACGTTATTTATTTATTTATTTATTTATTGTTCAGTGTCGCTTTTGATGCTGTGTCGTGTCCTAAGTAGAGATATCCTCCTTATTCTGATATCCATTATGGTGTCACTGTGTTGCGTGCAAATCGCACTCGTCTTCAGGATTCTTTCCCAGAAATTGATCTTGTTGTTACCATCACTTTGCATTCTCAACAAAATAAATGAACAATAATGGATTTGACACATTATACGCAAAGGATCTGCTCCCACTCTGCCATGGGTTCTTTGCATAAACATGATAAAAACAAGTCAAGTATGTGTTTGGATCTAGATCCATTGAACCAAAGTTTGCCAACATCATTCTAATGCAGAGGCATTTCTATATATATCTTTTCATCTTTACCATATATACACAACAAAAGTAAGTGTTCTTTGGGCTATGATTGGTGGGGTATATGGATTGCAATGTCCCCTACCTAGTGTTTGTGCTTAAGAAAGAGGTGCGTGACAATGGAAAAAAGGACGTAGTAAGATCAGTTGAGAATCGTAGTGATTTGAAGGTTCAATGCAAGTGAATGCGCACATTAGTCAAAGCGTGCCACTTAATTCGAGTAGCACAGTTCTCTCTATGAACAAAAATTGGCACCTATGCTTAGCATGTGTTCAGGAACAGTTCAGAAAATTGTACGCGTCAAAAGTTTGAGCTTCCCAATTACTGACAGTGAATTATGGTAGGGACATTTGGTCGCTAAAACGTGAAATGTGTTCCTCTGAACAGTACTATAAATTAATATTATTCCAATTCATTCGTTCACGTCACAACTCTCCTCGTTCTCTCCTCAATAACTGGGACCAAACACATGTACAACCAAAGTTTACAATCTGATTTTGGTTACTGTCAAAATACTCGTAAACAAATGTGAATTTTTTTCTATGATTGCATAGCAATTTTTTTTTTATTCTACTTCGTGATGACTTGAATATCTTCAAATAAGAAAATGAAATATTACAATTCATTTGCTAAAAAAAATGCACTCAAAAGCAATTAATAGTTATATATTATTTTTGAAAAATATTTCCATATTATAATAATAATAGAGGTATATTAGTCTTAGAAAAATATTAAGATTAAAAAAAAAACACTTGTAATATCCTAAAACAAACAACCCAATATTAGTTTTAGAGGCATAAATGAAGTGATAAAGTTTTAGAGTATGCACTTCGTATAAAATAAATGATTACACATACTTCGTTAGTTTCTGGCCCTCGCTACAATAGAGCGCTATTCTGGCACAAACTTTTGGGCTCAAACAACCCAATAATGAAGCTGGGCCAAGACCCATACGTTACGAGCCTTCATATTCTCACTCATAGTAATAATGTATCGTATAATATAACTATTATATTATAATATAAATTATTACTTCAATTAAAAGATATTATGTTCGTTTTAATATTAATTAATTTAATCATGCTATGTATGAATGATATGTTCAGATTGAAATTGAATTGAATCCGAGCAAATTATTACCCCTTTAATCATATTGAATCAATTATGATTTTCTTTTAATATAAAACCCAAACTTAAATTCTCATATGTATAGTATCCAAATCTTGAAGTGTGAAGATTGTTGTGGATGAAGGGCAGACGCTAGTAGAGTCCATATACAAAGATTTTATGAAGATCAGGTTTTGAAGTAATGAATGGGAAAGAGATGTAGGAAAGTTGAGGACCCTGACTTCAAAACCTGATGTTGACACTATGTGACCGTGACTCAACACACATGCGTTGCATGTCTACCATGAATTTGATATAAATTTATTGAAAATATTAATGAGAAGAGAGATTGATAAAATTTGATGACAGGAGGTAGAGGCCAAACAACATATACTCTAGTTAAAAAGAAAGACAATAAAACAGTGGGTGTTGATGAGTTGTCTGTAACAGAGATATTGGTGTTTCAGTTGTACATACTCACACCACGTGGATGGTAGGGTTGCTGGGTTTCTGACGCGTGGACAATCATGACAGTATACTTTATGTGTACACAATTTTGTGGTTCAAAATCGATGCAAGCCCATAAGTGTTTTTTCTAGTTCAATCTCTATATATATTACAAGTCCCATCTACATCATAGTTTCCAATTTGTGGTTAGATTTTCCTAAAGCTATTAAATGGTTCAAAATAACATAATTGTTTGTATAAATTATTTACGTATAAACAACTCTCAGTCTAATTGGATTTTGAAAATTATGATCTAGTATCGAACGTAATAATTATTATCTCTTTGATAATGTGATTATTTGTGCAAGACCAATATACATAACACATTGATTTGCATAGCGTATACATTTGAAGAAGGCATGGCATGCATGGTTGCGTGCAAATGAAGGTCATGGAGCATATATACAGGTGTTGAGGTAAACCTCTTAAACATAGAAAAGTTAGAAAAAAGAAGAGTAGGTGCAAGGCTTGCGGTCTAATCAAGGGAAGGGAGGTTTCTTTCCTTTTCTTACATGCCTTTTCCATTTTCAAATGTAAGTACAAAAATATATAATTCATTTTTTTAATTATCGTATTTTAAGAAAATTGTTACTAACTAACTTTCTAACTAACATGAATAACTTTCTTTTTACATAAAATATTGACACATTTAATATATTGTAGTTTTTATTAATGTAATAATGTGTTTCATCGGTTTAATTGATTTTATTCTTGACTTTCAATTTAGAACATATAAATTAAATGATTTGAAGTTTGATACGCTTTAATTTATCATAACCTCGTGCTAGTTTATTTGTTCTTTTGGCGCATGTGTTAGTTTATTATTAAATTGTAGTCATATATAGGATTGGACTAACAAAAATGTAGTCGAATAAAAAATAATTATTCTCTAGCAATATGGCAAATATTAGTTAGTTTTATACATTCGGATTTAAGTAAACATTTCCAAGGAATTAATGGATCTTGAACCGTATAAACCTAAGCATATATTAAAAATTGAATCAAGATGGAAAGTGTTGGTGAGCGTGACTGTAAACACGTGCATGGCATGTGAACCGTGAATTAGAGGCCATGGATCCTTAAGCAGGCCCAACTACTGAGCTTTCTTTTGTTGTGCCTTCTTGATGTTGACCTACCATCCATGCTTGCTTCCCTCTTCCTTTTTGCAAATTCCAAGAGATATATAAATAAAATTTTAAAAATATAAAAAAGAAAAATATCTTAATAAATAAAAAAATGTATTAAATTATACACTGTTGGATATTGTTTTGCTAATTTCAGCTTGTGGTCATTTGTCTGATAGAGAATCTGTTATTATCAAAGTCAGATTCGGCATTGGATATTTTGACTTGTGACAGTGGAATCGAAACCAGGTTCGACCATAAATAAATATTGAATGATAAAGAACACACAATATATCTTTTAGCGATAATATAATTGCTAAAAGACCTTCTAATTTTACCAACGTTTTTATTTTTACTTGCATCTTTCCGGCTTTTTTTTTATTATTTTTTAAACCAAATGGTTTTTTGTTAATTAATTAACTTGATGAACTTAATTAGTATATCAGAGGAATGTTTATCACGTTATTAATATTTAAAGTTGTCACTACGATAAAGTTACTTCAATACCAAATTATTCTAATAAAGAAACTTTAACAGGAATATATTTGTTTAAACATTAGGTAGCAATGAGATTCAAAGTTCGATTTTACATTGTTTAATAGTGTATTGAAATCATTTATCAATAAAAGACGACGTGACAATTTGCTTCTACTAAAAATTCCATATGGTATATATTGCTACTTGCAATATATAATAAACATTGTTATATTTAAATAAATGCTTTCAATGTTTCCATGGTGACAAAAAAGACAATGGGTTGGAAATATTTGCAAGAGTTGCTTTGTAATTTATTATTATTGTTTGGGTTTAATGTTATGTTGTGCATGTTCATGTGATCACAACTCTACCAGAATCTTTGAGAGCCCCAGCGTATTCCAGTGTCTTCTATGTCCCGCGCGGTCATAACCCATTCCAGAACCTTCCTATAATCATTCACCACCGTTCGATCATTTCTATTTGACACGTGGTAAACACACAGGCTTAGATTTCCCAACTTGTATGATCAAAGGTAGCCACATATTCCTCAAATCTCACTATGCACTATGCCCGTCACCTCTTCCGTTTCTTTATATATACACCCCTCCTCTTTCAATCTCCACCACCGAACAACCATACTCGTCGTTGAAAACTTCTTCACTGTTCTCTCTTACTCTCTTTAAGCTTTTAACCTCTCTACCACTCTCATTCAACTACTCTTTTTACTACTTTCATCTAACATGGCCCCCGAGCTTGTCCCCACCGTCGCAAAATCCGGTGCCACGTTTGCCAAACCCACCACCCTGCCACGGCGTGCCTACGTCACATTCCTAGCCGGAAACGGTGACTACGTGAAAGGGGTGGTTGGTCTCGCCAAAGGGTTGCGAAAGGTCAAAACCGCTTACCCATTGGTGGTGGCCGTCCTCCCCGACGTGCCGGAGGAGCACCGTAATATCCTGGAGTCTCAGGGCTGCATCGTCCGTGAGATCGAACCCGTTTACCCCCCCGAAAACCAGACCCAGTTCGCCATGGCCTATTACGTCATCAACTACTCCAAGCTCCGTATCTGGGAGGTTCGATGATTCTCTTCTTCTTTATCCTCTAGTATGAATTATTATTCGCTCTCTTCTACGTTGTATTGTTACACGTAGATTCTGTCATTGGCCTGTTATTTCTTACGCGTGGAGACACATATGACGTGGCCTCCTTTATTTCTGCACCCTTTAAAACTTACTCTTCTATGGCATATAATGAAGTAAAATAGTTTTTTTAATTTCATCTAATTATTGAATTTATGGCTACTAAAGTAATGTAAAGGTGTTAAATTGAAGAAAAAATAATTGGAATTGGAATATGGTTGTTACAGTTTGTGGAATACAGCAAGATGATCTATCTGGACGGAGACATTCAGGTGTATGAGAACATAGACCACTTATTTGAACTACCTGATGGTAATTTCTACGCTGTAATGGATTGTTTCTGCGAGAAGACATGGAGTCACAGTCCTCAGTACAAGGTGGGGTACTGCCAGCAATGTCCGGAGAAGGTGCAGTGGCCCACCGAATTGGGTCAGCCCCCTGCACTTTACTTCAACGCTGGCATGTTCGTGTTTGAACCTAGCATGGCCACTTACCACGACCTCTTGAAAACCTTGCAAGTCACTACTCCCACATCGTTCGCGGAGCAGGACTTCCTGAACATGTACTTCAAAGACATTTACAAGCCAATTCCTTTGTCCTACAACCTTGTCCTCGCCATGCTGTGGCGTCACCCCGAGAATGTTAAGCTCGAGGAAGTTAAGGTTGTTCACTACTGCGCAGCGGTACGTCAATAAATATTGCTTTAACTTTTAAATTTATTCTCGTTTTATATTCTCCTTTTTTTTTATATCTCTCTCTCTTTTAATTGTGCTTTATTGTGAGTACATGATAATTGAAATGGTTATTTTTGTGAATATTTTTTAGGGGTCGAAGCCATGGAGGTATACTGGGAAAGAAGAGAATATGCAGAGGGAGGACATAAAGATGCTGGTGCAGAAATGGTGGGATATCTACAACGATGCTTCGCTTGACTACAAGGCATTGGGTGCAAGTGAAGCTTCAGCGGATGGTGTTGGCATTGAACCATTCGTGCAGGCTCTATCAGAGGTTGGTCGTGTTCAATACGTCACTGCACCTTCAGCAGCTTGAGCTGCATTTGCTGTTGACGTTCAAATCGTGACAAAAACGAAGGAGTGAAAAAACAAAAAACGAAAAGTCGTGAAAAGAAAAGTTAGGAAGCGAGGGGGAGGAGGAGTAGTAGGTGGAAGACCTTGCCGTCAACACAAGGGAGGTTTTCTTCTTTCTTTAGATTGAGGAGTGGTCGTGGCTTCCTTTGGATAGGACCTCTCCATCTTCTATGTATATTTTTTAAGAGATTTTCTTTTTCTTAATCTTTGTTTTTTCCTTCGATTTAGCGTCTGTTAAGGTTGGTGGGGTCTGTTCAAAAGTGTCTGGATCTGGTCTTTGTGTACACATACGTGTTATTATGTATATTTCTGGTGGTGTCAATTTTCCTTGGTTGGACTTTGACATTCTAATAATACTTATAAGACAACGCTTAATGCTAAACCGAATGATATATATGTCCATTTTAATGGTGAAAGACTCTTGTCTATTCCCTATGAAATTATAAATTGTATTTGATAGTGATCACTTTATTAGGAATATATATTGCTTTATTGTTTGATGAAGTAAAATGAGATCTGTGTTAAGGAATGGTTTTAATTCCTTCTTCTTAACAAAAGTGAAATGACATCACGTTTCATCTGTACCCCATGCTGAAGCAAGCTTTTTGCAGAATAAGAAAGGAAGATAAAAAGCATGCAAATCTCTTCTAACATCATCATGTGTGTTGAATAAGGATCTTCCCTTGCATATATTCTTGAATGAATGACTTTCGAGTAATTAGACGGTGATTATTAGAGTGATACTGGATCAATTCTTTTGGGTTGTTTGAATGGATATGCAAATAAGTAATTGACAAGAAAGAAAAGTGTCTTTATGTATATGTATAATTTGCAATTTAAATGTTCTATTTATTGTTTACGAGACCCGTAAAATGAAAAAAAAAACCCATTTATGCAAGAATTGTATAGTTTTGAATTTATGCAATGTATAATTAATAATAAATTATGATTGTTGGTTGTAGTCGTAGTTTCAGAATTATGATGGACATTCAAATTGTAATTTTATAATTGATTAATTTATCAAACTCATAAGAGAGAAAAAAGATAATTAATAATACAGAGCAAATATTATTATAATAGAGTTAGTTGAGTAAATTAATAATGTAGAAAAAGCATTACAGTTACATGTGATTAGTTGCAATATTTGAATTTTCTAACTATAAAAGACGTTTCAAAATTAAATAACATAAATTTGAATGAACTATCTTATTTATTAGGATGAAAAATTACATTTGGTTGATTATACAATTTTTTCTAAGACTTTGTAATTAAAAATAAAAATACAGAAATTTATAATTTATTATTTTAATACGCACGCGGGTTATTTATTAATTGTTGTGATCTTTCATTGAAAATTATTCATGATAAAGTTATGCAAATAAAAATAGATTTTATATACTAGAACACTTTCATCAGTGTTTGTATTTCTTTTCTTTTTTTTCTCTCTTTATATGTTACTGACTAGCTTCGTGTAGAAGAGATGTCTCCTTCGTAGTATAGTTTCCATTCCAACACCTAAAAATGTGCTGCAGTTCACTTTTCCAGACTTGATTATTACCAAAAGCCTTTTATTGGTAAGTGAAAACGACTCTCTCTCTCTCTCTCTCTCTCTCTCTCTCTCTATATATATATATATATATATATATTTATGAACACATGATATGAATGCATGCTAAAAGAAGGTAAAATTGTTAATACAAAATTTGCATTTATTGTAATTTTGGAATCATTGGTCAACTTTGAAGGCTGAGCACAAAACATTGTCTTTACAATTTGTTATACTATCTACATGTTGGGAAACTTTGATTGGGATAGAACTTTTTAAATAATTTTTATATTCTATCAATTATTTCTTGTCATATTTTTCCTTTATACAAATTCATGATTGTTTGTTTGTGACCGAGTCATGATTTAATTTAAATATTTGTTTACTTTTTTTATATATATATAATTTATGATTGTACTATTGTTAACCGATTGGTTTGAAAATTGAATTGAGATTAAGTAAAACTGGATAAATCCAAATTAGGTAACTTGTAGTTGTAGATTGAATTGGGTTTCAACACAAATTTACAAATCCAATTAACATTGGATTGAGTTACAAGTTATCTAATTTGAGTTATAAAAAAATAAAATCCAAATTAGCATGTACAAATTATATATAATTGATAAATCGATTCAAAAAAATCTAAAAAATATATCAAACAATAATAAAAAAATTGTAATTAAAATTAAATTAAATTTATTTTGTTTTAATTATTTAAATCATGATCTATATAGATTTAGATTAATTTAATCTATAGACTTTTTAAGTTAACTTATTTTATATAATAATTATTTTTTAAATAAAAATAAAGTAGTATTATTTTCTTATATATATATATATTATAAATTAATTTGATAGGATTCTTTTTATTTTAAGAAATAATTATTTATTTTAATATTTAATAGTTAAAATTAATTATTATTTTTAATTAATAAATTATTTTAAAATAAATTATGATAATGAAAATTAAGATTTTTATTTTTATTTTTAGATTAAATAGATTTAATTTTTAGTAATTTATATATTATATTATTATGTCTAAAATAAAAATTATTTTTATTAATATAATTTAAATTTTAAAAATATAATTTTTATTTATATTTTTATTTAACTTTTTTTAATTAATTATTTTAGATTAGTTATATTATGTTTTCTTTAACTTTTAATTTGATTAAAGTTAACTCTTTAGTTCGTTTGTTTTTGGCTAGTTGACATAGAATAAAATTTATGATTCTTTTTAAAAATATAAATCAGATTGTGATGTATCTTTATAAGTTAAAGTCAGGCTCGGCTTTTTATATATTTATATGTTATTTAGTTTTATATTATACATATAAATATTTTATCGAGTGGGTAGCTAAAAAAATGATTAAGGATTAAAAACAAATAGTGAAATATTAAAAGTGATAATAACGAAACACATTGTTTAAAAAGTGATAATAACGAAACACATTGTTTAAAAACTGATAATAAAAATGAAAACAGCAGAAGTAAAAAAATAGTTAAATTGATTTATCAAATCAACCTCAGTAAATGTTTGTATTCAATTTTGTTGGTTGATTTCAGTGGACACTTTTGAGAAAAATAATTATTAATTTTTTTTTTTTTGAAATTGTTAATGCGAGACTGTTTTGACAGTTAATTTGGTTAATCTACTGGTGAAACTAGTGGGTTTAGCAGTGTGATGCACATGCTTTCATTCTTCTATTTTCTTAAGAAATTTAACTAGTTTTTTTTTCTTTTTAAATAATAACTTTTTAATTATAATAATTATAATTTTTAGATTTAAATTGGAAACTAAATTAAAATATATGATAAATTCTTCTTTTTTTAAATAAATTATAACATAATCCATTATTTAATAAACTTATTTGATTTGAAAATGCAGAATGTCACTTTAATTTGAAAATCACAGAAGGAAAAAAAAAACTCCTATGGACACGTGGTAGCGATTGAGTAAGGGGGAAGTTACAGTTTAGTTTGCGGCATGCGTGCCACGTGTCATGAGACAGAAAATCGTAAACGAAAAAGGAAACAAAGAGAAGGTTGCCACTTGCAGAGACTCAATGTGTTAAAATTAATTGGTCTCGTTCAACAGTTTCTTATTTTTATTATATTAATTATATATACTATTAAAATAAAACTAATTAATCAGTTGATTCATTAAATTAAATACATATGATATTACTTTATGCTTTTAATTTTATTTAACAATAAATTAAATATTAAAACATAATAAAAGTTATTCAAAATACCTAATGTTTGCTATAAAAGATTGACATAAGAATCATCCCGTGAAGAACCAAGAGAAGCACTTGATCTATTAGGAAGCACGAAGTTTAATTTCATTCAAAATGATTCAAAGTTGTTTACAATGGAAGAATATTTTTAGTTCAGGTGTGTGTATCATCATTATTAGGTTAAGGCTTAATTGGTTCAACAACACAAAAGTTTTTCCAAAAATAGTCAAACAACACAAAATAAACAGGTATATGTTTGAGGTCGTTGAATGAACGATATGGTTAATGTCCCTGAATCAACTTGTTAGTGCAAAAATACCAAAAAGAAAGGTTGAATGGTGATTTCATTTTTTTTAAAATACTTTTATTATAAAGCAATTTTTAAAAACTCTTTTTAGAACAACGGAAATGCATAACAATTTTTATATTAAGTTGTGTTTACCATTAATATTATATTTAGTTGTTGTAAACCATCTTTAAGTAGTGATTTTGTTTTAAGTGTTTTTTTATTAGTTCATTTAAATTATATACCAAATTAATGAAGTATTTTTAGGCCTACGAGTACGAAAGATTGTTTGACTTGGGACACAACAGATGATACAAAGGATATAAAAGTAGCCCAAACTAAGGTTTCTCAAGAACAACTAATGGTACTAGCTTATTACAAGATGAGAATAAAGATAAATTTATTTGAACATATTGAGAAAAACTTCATTGTATATGTTACTTGCTTGAGACTTTTTCAATTGAGTATATAAGTTGCTTGAAAAAAATAATTTTTTGAAGAGTTGAAGCTTTCATGTGTATTTGTTCATTACGTGTGTGAAAACTCTATGCAAAGATAGAAAGTCATGGTAATATATTAAATGTCAGTTATTATATTTTATTAGCTAAATCTCTTTTAAGAATTTTAAGAAATGATATATTTATAGTGTTGAAGTTGGTAGAAGACATTACATTATATGGTTAAGATAAATTGGACAAATATATTTTATTAATATTTTCTATTTCAATAATTAAGATGTATCTTTTGAGAGTATATTGACTAAGTTTGTATTTATATTGATGAATGGATTTGGAAAAAAAATGAAAGAAATGAGTAAAAAATAAACATAAAATATTATAAACTATAAAAAATATTATATTTATTTTCAGGATATGTACTTATATATGATAAAGTTCACGTATAAGTACACAAAATCATGTGTACACCATCATTTCTAAGTTAATCTTCCCTCAAGTAAGCTCCAATTAATTAATCTTAGACCTCCTTCGTTCAAAGGTCATATTGATTGACAATTTGACTAGGCTCTTTTTGTAGTTTTCTAGTCCTCTACCAAATTTATTTCTCTTTAATTTTGGAATAAACATAAAACATTTCTTGGTTGAATATCAAAGATTCAAATGTATCTTTTAGTATATACTTCTTCATGCCCATAGATCTAGAGATTAGATTTCTAACTACATACTCAAAAGATAGTTATTTATCAAACCATATGAAAGGATTACACAAACCTAATACTTATATATTTCCTACATTTATGCGTTCATGTGTGTCAGCGTATTTATATGTGTACGTACTAAGAATACGAATATCTCGATAAGAGATTATTAAAATACGAAGTTTTTATTTAATTTTTATATTGAAAAAAATGAATTGACTATCACTTTGAAAAACCAGTTATAATAGAAGTCTCCATAACTTATTTTTATTTTTCTGAAAAACATTTGATTCAAGAAAGAAAAGAGACACAAATGTGAAAGTATAATATAATATAAAACCCATTAAACATGAATTAGGAACTTACATCAAATTTTGACGTTGAAGGAAAAATGTATTAAAGATTCTTAAATCATATATCAGACTAATAATACGACAAAAATGTTAAAATCCAAAATGAATTCTATTATCAAAGATGGTCTGAGCTTCATAGTTCATTACTCTAGACACGTCCATTTGAAAAGAAAGTGTTCCAGTTATTAAAGCAGCAACTAAGCAGTTGTTGTCAATAATAACGGGGGGAGTTGAAGCAATAACGTCCCATGATGTTGCCACTTTCGGTTGAATACACTGTTGTTGGTTTCATGTTCATGTTTAATATATTACGCATGAATGTTAAAACCTTCAATGATAAAATTGATTTCACAAAATCAATGGGTAAAACAGTGGCTTTTGGTTATACACGAAAAAAAATGCAAATTATTTGATATTAGGTAGTGAACATGGTTCTTTATCGAAGACAAATAATACATGCTAGATCAGATAAAAGATTCTAAACAAGTAACCAAATCAAACATCGGAAGTCACAATCGCTAAACTCAACCGAACTTCAAGCAATCCACAAAAGATAATCACTATGCCTGCAATCATAAATCATTAAAATGAAAACAATTAGTAACGGCCTTCAATGAAATCTGTCAATCTAGAATTAAATTTCCTGAGAAAATGATTATTCTGCATTAACCTTGTTTGCAATGTTGTTCGAAAGCCAGTCAAGTCCTTCGTAAAGTCCTTCACCAGATGTGGCACATGTGCTCTGGATATACCTGCACGTGAGAACATGGACAATGGGTAAATGAAGGAGAAAGGTGACAGGGGATTAAAGAGACAAGTAAACTGCAGACAGAAATATTTTAAATTACCAGTGACGCTGACGGAGAGAGTGAAGACCAAGCTTATCAGTTATTTCAGCAGCATTCATAGCATTTGGAAGATCTTGCTTGTTTGCAAAAACAAGAAGCACAGCATCTCTCAACTCATCCTGAGAAAAGTTACAGCCATACAAGTGAAATCACAAAATTAATCTACAAAAAAAGTCCTCTGAAAAAAGCCAAATTCTCATATTCAACCACTGAGCATCTATTTGGTTACCTCATTCAACATCCTGTGGAGCTCGTCTCTGGCTTCCACCACACGATCTCGGTCATTGCTATCAACCACAAATATAAGTCCTTGGGTATTTTGAAAGTAATGTCTCCACAAAGGACGGATCTAGTAGGGAAAACATGTCAATCTATACTACTGTATCGATAAAAAATAGTAAATAATTCTGAGATAAAAAATATAGTAGCAGAAGGCCAAATGTTGGACAATTTAAGCCTTACATAGAACTCTACTCTCATAATGGTAACAAGCTAGATGTTCAGCACCGTAGCCAGATCTTGCTACAGTATTGGATCCGAGCAACAGTTCACGTACATTTAAAAAGAGAGACAGACTAGAAAATGACAATTTTATTTATGATTTAATTTTTAACATGTTTGGATTAGCGGTACAAATCGTTAACTTTTCACGTGAAAAGAGAGCAACACAGTTGCTTCTGATTTATCATTATTTTTTTACGTGATTTTTTACTCCCACCTGGTGTCACCGTGTATCCTAGCATACCAATTAACTAGCTGGATCAAAATTGTGAAATGTACTCAGAATGTATAATCAGCACTATTTAAATAAAAAAATTATTACAAAATAAATCAAACCCACCGGCAAAAAAAAAAAAGGCATTTTGAATCACATATGTCGTGTAATGGAGAGAGTGTATGCATGGTACCATCAAATTATTACTCACCACCCAATATTACCAGTATCAGAACTAATGCTTTCCCTCTCAAGCAGTGAATTCGGAATAGAATCCATAAGATATACAAAACAACACAAGCAATTTCACAATGATAATGTAATAAAACCAACGAAACCATTATAAATTCTAAATCGTTAACAAGCATTCCATCACGACATCAATAGATGGACAAAGGAAAGGAAAGTAAAAGGAAAAAGTAATACCTTGTCCTGGCCACCAACATCCCAGACAGTGAAGCTGATGTTCTTATATTCCACAGTTTCCACATTAAACCCTACACCAAATGTTACATATTAACAAAAACCGCATCCTTTTTTTTTGTAAGTTTATTTTATTGTCACGTTTATTGACGAGAGTATAATTTAAATTCGATTAAATTGACGGAAAGAAATTAGAAGAAGAATGAATAAAAAAGAAAAGAAAAAGAGAGTTATACCAATGGTGGGAATGGTGGTCACGATCTCTCCGAGCTTGAGTTTGTAGAGAATGGTGGTCTTACCGGCGGCGTCGAGACCGACCATAAGTATACGCATCTCCTTCTTCGCAAACAGCCGACTGAAAAGCTTCGTGAATGAGAGCCCCATTTTCAACTATTCTGAAACAAGCAATTCGCAACACAAACGTTAAAACAACATCGCTACAGTATGTTACCCTGGTTTCAACGCTGGAAATTCGAATTGCAAAAGGAGAAGGAAGATTGAAAAGTTATCTGAGGATATACGTCGCAGATCGAGGCGGAATCGTGAATTGCGACACGGATCGGAAAGGTGAGCGTTTGAGAATTAAAAACGATAAAGAAGATTGTGAGAGAGAAGAGAATGACTTGCCTTAGAGATATGAGAAAGAGAGAAAAATTGAGATGAGATCTGATGTTGTTGTTGGTGTTTGTTTGGTGTTTTGGAAGCAGAGAGCGTTTAGTAGATCAATTGATACCGTTCGTTTTACGCTTTCCCGTTTTCAAAATCAGAGAGAAGGTACTATTCAAATTTGGGTGGTCTCAAATTCCCCAATAAATCATTACTTTGCATATCATATTTACTTCTATTTTTTCCTTATAGTATTAGAAATAATGCTTTAAAATATCTAAAGTATTTTTACAAATTTCACATTATGCTAAATATATCAACCCAAAATCTAAATTCATAGATATTCAAATAAATCATATAGTCTTATTAGTTCAATAAAGACTATTCAATATAGAGTATACTTAAAAAACTAAATTAAAGCTTTATTGATTTAAAATTTAAAGTGTCAATTCTGTTTTGTTGGGAGGTTAAGGTTACATTTAATTGCATTTTTGCTTTTAAAATAATAAACTTTTACTAACATTTTTTTTTTCGGTTGATTAAAGTTTTTCAGACAACACGATTTGGTGGATCTACTTATTTTGGACTAGCGAATTGTGAATGCTAAGTAATGTCCGAAATTTCTAGAAAATTGCATAATTTGTATAGGTTTTAAAGTTTTCCAATTGAGATTGTGTTCAAAATAGATATACTAAAATGTCTCGTATACATGAGAAAAAAAATCACTATCAATTAAAATAAGTAATTAAATGAATCATAGCATATTAACGAGCTATCTACTAGTATCTGTTTTCACAAATATAGTGTGTACTTAATTTTTTAAAATATCTTAATTAAATACAAGATTAATTACTCTAATTTTGATTATAAATCTATATTTTAAAATTATTCATTCAGTAAAATGTAAGTTAAAAATTATTTTTTTTAGTATAGATGCTGTCTCAAAAATATTATTTTAGGTTACTTACTAGTTTCTTCAATCCCAAAAACATATTTTTAGTCTTTGAAAGCACATTTTTTTACTTTCTTATAAATGTTATTTTTAATACTTTTAGACTATATATCATTTAATTTCGTTTTGTTTCTTGATAAAGATTAAAAAAATTTACATATCATATATAGGCTAAATGTGATATTTTTATGCACATTAAACGATACAAAAGAAGTTTTAACCATAAACACCATATGAATAATTAAATCTTATATTTTATTTAGAATTTGTATATCATTGATATTCATGAATATTTGTGTATAAAAAAAAATCTATTTAAAATAAATTTTTCTTTCGCTTTCTCTTCACTAAAAATAAATTTCTCTCTCTATTTTTTTTATCTCCACCAAATCTCATAAAAGTGTACTTTGATTTTTAATACTTTTTTATATTAAAAAAATGAGTATCAAGTTCTTTTTAAATAATTATGCCATTTGATTTAATGAATAGTAATATTTAACTTAATATAACGTCATATTTATATTAATATTATTTATTTAATTATACAATAAAACATATTTAATTGTGTAATTTAACTACAAATAATATTAAAAGTGACAAACTATGTCTCCGAATCAAGTTATTTAGATTGTATCTGGATAGCATTACATCTTTTGTTAAATTATGTTTCATATAAATTGATAAGAGACTTTTTATCTTGAAAGTTATTTCAAATTCCAGTCTTATACCGAATTATTTTTTAACAAGTAGGAATTGAATACAACTAAGATACTTTATAACAATTCCCACACCGTATTCAACCAATCAACCGTGTTAGACTCTGTGACATTGCTAAGTAAAATAAAATGAAAAAATTATTTATTTGGTCTCTAAACTATAATCCTTACGGCAAGAAGTCTAAATCATGTCATTAATTTTATTGCATCACATTCAACTTGTTGTCATATGACGTGGCTACAACTGAAGTAACTCAGCATTTGTTTATTACATTTTCACAATTTTATTCACTGCATAATTTCACTGCTTTTTCCACACTGTCTATGGTGTATATCTTCCCACAGTAGAGTGCAAAATAAATAAAGCATACAGCATTCCAATGCATTCCACAAGGGAAAAGGAAAGGGTAAGAGAAGAAGATGACAAATGCTGATCTTTTGTTCCGACTAGTCCAGTCATACAGCAGATAACATGTCACTTCGCCCACCAGTCATCCTCTCTGCCTGTTCCCCACGTTCACCTGACAATTTTTTTACTCAAAACTTAATTAGAAATACTGACTAAGAAAGTTTTATTTTTTTATTTTGAAAACTCCTGGAAGAAAATGGTTACCTGTTCGAATTCTTATAACATCTGAGACGGGGATCACTGCACAATCAAAGTTCTGTTAGAAATGTGGTTCATATTGAGGCCATTTCATTTACTCGCTGAATTTAGAAATTAGAGTTTAATTCATATTCCCTCAAAATATCCGTTCAGAACTTGGCAAGAGTAGACATGACACAGAAAATATGCATCGAGACTATGGTGCTTGCTTAGATTTTTAAGAATCTCATAATTCATGAATATTAAGATCAATCTTGATAGTTTGTTTATAGGGAATCTGATATCTAATATATTAATATGAAGAGTTCGGTGAAAGGGCAGGAAAAGTATAAGTGAAAGCCAAGAATACAATAATGTCAATGTCCTGTGTAAACTCAAAAGGTCCATACATAATATGCAGAAAAAAAAAAGGTTTTTCAGCTTGAAAACAGAATTCATCATTTGTTGTCTCGGACAGCATAGTTCATTTTGGCTTTCAGTTGGTAAAACCTTTTATTCTTGCCCAGTTGCGAGAAGACAAAACAGATCATATTGAAAATGGAGTAGCTATTCTACATTTCAACACAGAATATCCTGTTTTCCCAGGACACAGGAAGTGTGATATTTGTACGAGAAATGAGCCTAATAGACTAAAATAGACCATCAATATCCCTAGATTAGCAATGATCCGAACACACACACACACACAAAAAAAGAAAAAACTGCTAATGGACCACAATATATAATTCATCACCAGATAGGTTTAGAGGTCTCACCGAAAATTTTCCCATCACCAATCTCCCCAGTCCTTGCCTCCTCGATAATTTTGTCAATCACTGCTTCAACCTATAGACGTGTGGTAATATCAGGGAATGAACATTTTTGTCGGTCCTAAAGTATGGTTAAGTTTCATTCTAGTAATGTCTTATTGGAAAAAATGTGTTTATTCTAGCTAACTTATATATGTGAGAAAAAATTCAAAAGAACATTGAAAGTGCTTATTGTAACTTCTACAGCCAATTTTTTCAGTTACAAAACAATATTCTGTTTTTTTTAATATTTTTAAATTCCAGAAACTTGACAATGACCAGTCCTGTCATTCAAGTTAGAAATTAATAGACAGAACAACACAGACCAGTGGTAATGGAATTATCATATTCATTTAAAAAAAAATTGTTCGTGTTTTTCTCTTCACAATGGCTCTGGTCGTGAGACCGGAGAAGATTCAAATCTAGGACAACTGATTTAGAACCGATGAAAAATTTAGAGCACCAATCCAATGGATATGGACATTATCACATTCATTACTGATTATGTTAAGCATTTTAACATCAGTACTTTGCCGCAAAAATTGTCATTTAGAAATTAAGGGGATTCTGACAGTAACTAAGAAATGTCTCTTTTCCAACCTTGCATTATTGCACTAATAAGCAAAATAAGTCAAGTATGAAGCAGTGAGGTTACTACCATGTGTCTGCATACCTGGTTCTTTTCCACTACAATTTCCATTTTAACTTTGGCAACAAAATTGTCTTCAGAAAATTCAGAGCCTGTGAAGAATACCATATTAGTAAAAGACAATGTTGTAATGTGGCTGATACGCATAAAAGTATGTATATAACTCAAGGCTAAAGGAAAGAAATGTATTTCTTGAACTACAGATGGTTAAAATAAGTTATGGATAATTTTTACAAACTTAAAACTCAGTCAAAGTTGGATGATTATATTGGTAACACCCAATCAAGTAAAAGAACATGATGTTGTCTTCAACTAAAAAATCTTGAGACAATAGGTTTTAGATTTTTCTCATTTATATATTATTTAAATTTCTCGTGTTAGGTAATTTCAAGAGAAGTAACACTAAAAAGATATTCACAAGTGGGTCACAAGTTTATTATAGAAAATAACATGATATCACCTTCAACCTTAAAACTTGCGACAATAGGTTTAAGCTATTATTACTTAAATCCTACTCAATTCTCTCATTTCTACAAATGCTGTACTTCAACTTATACTTGAACTCCAATAGAACACATAATTATGTTGTATAAATTTCAATGGTGACACTCAATGATTGTATGAAAGGAAACTCCCACGGGCTATAGCTTACAAAATCAGTGATTCACATCACCATCATGCCATGCTCATTAATTTGAGAAACTAAAAATCAGTGGCATTTTATTTTATACAATTTCCAATAGTTTCTAGTTTCTCAAAGTGGTTAGTGAGTGTGCCCTGATATTGATGTGAATAACAAATTACATAAACTACGGATTTGTGTTAGTTTCTTTTCTATAATCATTAAGTGTAACCGCTGATATTGAAACAGATGATTTTGTTTGATTCTCCCATCATTGTTATGCATGTGTATATAGAAATAATCAAGGTATTTTGTTCTGTGATCATAAGTAACAGGACACTTCTCTTGAAGCATGAATAGAACTCAAAGGATTGGTTTAAGCATGTTTCGAAGTCAAAGAGAGAGGGAAAAAAATTGTTTCTTGATCACTACTAACATAAGTTTGGACAACTGTTAAAAACTTGAACACAATTGAAGTTGGTTGGCCACATATGCATGGATAAAAACTGATTACTAATGATTGGTTTCAAAATGAAAAAAATGGAATGAATACATGTAGAATAAAAGAAAGTAAATCCTCTAACCTGAATTTATTTGTGAGAAAGGGTTTATTTAGTATTTACTGGATACATGATCACAATGCTTTTAAATTAAATTAAAGGTGAACACTGGATATACACATTATTTACTTTGCACACAAGCCTAGTTTAGAAGAGTCTTCTTTATTGGAGGGAAAATATTCAGTTTTTAAGTACCTCTAGACAGTCTACGTCTTCCTTACCTCCCTGCCTCTCTTTTGAACCACCCTGAGAACCAAAGCCCCTGACATCAGATACAGTGACACCGCGAATTCCCATTTTCAGCAAACCCTTCCAATCAAGTAAACTAAAAAATTTAGCACCAGCATACAACAATAAACTTGGTAAATCTGATGGCACAAGACAAAAACCACGTGCTATATTAGTCAACCAAACCAATAATTATTTAGAGAGAGGATAAGGTAGTCGCGTGGCAATTAGGACAAAAACAAGTTACCAACTGCGAGCATGTTTGGAAAGCAGTTGCACCTTTTCTAAAATTACATTCAGAATAAAATATACAAAGATTAATCTTCTCAAGATGTACATTCAGCACCCAAAAGTGCTTTCAGAACAGTTATCCAAATATTCATGAAAAATAACAGTTATCCAAACAAACACTCAGTTAACTAAAATTAAGACACAATTAATCCAGTATTTTTCACTTTTTAACTTACACCAATTGCCAACTTTTTCCCAAGTGCAGGGATGTCGTGACATTGCGACAAAAAAATTACTGTTATGACCGAAGCGTGTATAAATTAAACCCTAAGACCAAGACGTGTACAAATTAAACCCTGAAAAAAATATAATGTCTTACCGAAGAAACCTGAGGGACTCGCCAGGGCCTGTTCCACGAGAAATTCAACAAAATAAAATCAGCGAATGTATAAACAGTAGCTAGAAAAACCATTTAAACTAACTAATCACACAATAAACCTCTCCCTCTCCAAGCCACAAAAAAGAGAAAGGTTTTTGTAACCTGAGAATAGCTTCTACTTTATAAAACTTGGATTCTGGAAGATAGTCTGGAAAGAGAACAAGTTCAAACAACAAATTAAATAACAGTATTAATGAACCAAGGCATGGAGAGCACATTCATTTGCACCTGGAACCTTCTGAGCTCTGATTTTGGGAAGAATCGCAGTATTTCCTCTGCGTCCCAGAACCACATTGCGCTGAGGACAATCACCAATACGCTTGAGGCTTAACCTGGAACACGCAAAGGGCATTTCGGCTTCTCTGAGATGAAAACTCACGACACCAAACACGTGCGTTCCCGCGATCGCAGCCATTACTTCTCTGCTTTGAAGCATTCAGAGCTAATGCCGGTCTTTTTCAAGTTTCAACCCAAACAAGAAATATCAATAATTTTATTTGTTTATTTATTTATTTACTTTTTGCGTCATGTTAAAGAGAAAGCCCAGCCCAGTGTAAAATGGGCTGGCCCATTTTGGATTTATGTGTAACGAAACCACCTTGACGGTTACCGATTTGGAAAACGAAGAAAATTTGATTGTGTTTGTTGAAGATGAGTGATTTCGTGTACAGAATCAGTACTGCGAAGGAGTGGGAGGAGTTGCAGAAAAATGGATCCGTTTTCGGTGGGGAGCTTGACAAGGCTTCTGGTTTCATCCATCTCAGCAAGCTCGATCAGGTTATTTTTCGTGCTTTTGTAATTTTTGCGGTTCAGTTCTTTGTTGATAGTTATAGGAATTGGATGCAAGCTTATGCCGTAGTTCCAATTGATTCAGTGGTTTATGGAGTTATTATGTGATATTGTTGCAGGTTCAGTTAACACTGGAGAACTTTTTCTTGAACAGCAAGTTGGAACTCTACCTGCTTCAAATTGATGCTAAAAAGGTTTACACGTACTTCTTTGCTATGCTTTTCAATGGTCTAGGGTTTCATTCTCGTTCATGGAAAATTATGGTTTTTTTGTAAGATTAACTTAACATGTCTGTCCTACAAATTACTTTCATTAATTCTATGAAACTGAGTGAAATATACAATTGAATTGAGGCTTTCGAAGTTATATTTAATAGTAGCAATAAATGCCAAGCAAGACCTTGGATAAAGAGGCTGAAATGCGGGCACAAATTTTATACTCGCGTGTTAATCTCTAATGTAATATTTTCCCTCTCTCTCTCTCTCTCTCTCATAATATTGCTCAGCTTGGTGATGGTTTGGTGTTTGAAATTGTGGATGCCTCAAATAGCTTCCCTCATTTCTATGGGCCATGTCGAAGCTTTGTTCCTCTCCCTCTTGATGCAGTAACAAAGGCTGAGAAGCTGAATCTCTCAGATGGTGGATTTAGTTGTAATTTGCTTGATTAAGTATTCTGCTGATCGTATGCCATCTTGTTGTTGTCTCATTCTTCCCTGTATTGTGTGTGGGTGTAGCGTGAGTGCTTACTGCCCTATTAGTTATCTCACTATCTCTGTAATTGATAAATCGAACTTTAATCTCGAGGGAAATGGATATGTGGCTTTATAGTAAGTATTTATTTTTTTACCTATCAATCAACATTCTACTCTATTTTTCATGAGATAGTAGTTTAGGACTGCATAATAATTTCTTCTTTTCCCACCACTATCACTAATCCAATTCCTGCCTGGGGTTTGTCACGGTAAAGTCTCATGCAATATAAATTATCATAATTGTTAAGGTTTTCTATCAGAGGACATATCTTGAGTAGTGGAGTATTTTTTAGCACTTTCAACCATGACGCTTGGGATGTGATTTTCTGAAAATTCCTTATTGATTTCTGTACAAGTGGTGGCCTGCAGACCTCGTGCAGGAGTCTCTATCAATCCAGGGCATCCATGAAAGGGGAAGTCACCGAGTTGCATTTTGTTTTCTTGAGCAACGAAAAAGGTGCACCCTATATGTTTGGGAGTATGAGTGGAGAAAAGAGAGATAGAGAGAAAGAATAAATAATATGTGACAAATAATGAGATATGTAAAAAAATTAGGTGAAGAAAATAAATGAGTATACGATTGAGCATTTTTCTCTTACTTTTGTTACCCATTGTAGTAAACTTGGCTTATGAAATTGTTCCGCTTTATGTTCCCTAGCAAGTCTGTTTCCTTAATTTGCTAGATTTGACAAAGTTCCATTACTGCATAGGCTTGCGTTAATGGCAGGAAGCTCTTTAATAGTGATATGTAAGTACCCACCATCTTCACTGAGAATTGGTCAATAGATAGAAAGGATGATTGAGATCAATTTAATTATTAAGTGACCAAACTGCAAAAAAAAAAATCTAAGGAACTGTACGAAATTTTAGTGAGGGACCAGAATACTGAGCAGGGATTTTTTTTTTTTTTTTTTTTTTTTCAGTAGGATAGCAGTTCGCTTTGGTGAAAAGCAACTCTGGCAATGAAGTAGAATGCTACTTGTCATAAAGGAAGTTTTACTCAAGCAACGAATGATCAAAGTACACAAGTGAATGATATGTGTTGAAAGTCTACCTCATATCATTTGGTATAGTTTAAATATATGTTAGGCTACTTTACATATTGTCAATTGGTTTTATGTTAGAATCTTAACATGGTATCAGAGCCAAAGCCTAACATCTTTTCGGTTATTGTCATAGGCCAAAAGTTGCCCTTTAGTTGGGTCAAAAGTACCTTTTGCCTGGTCCGGCAGACTTCGTTGGAGGGGGTGTGTTGAAAGTCCCACATCGCCTACCTCATATCATTTAGGCTACTCTACATATTGCCAATTGGTTTTATGTTGGAACCTTAACAATATGTATAAATAAGGAGTCTGGATCATCCAAGATCTGATGTGATCTCTGGCTTCAAACAGTTAAAATGTCAGAATATAATGATGTAATTACTTTAAGGACTCTGTTGATACTACAGTATAGTGAAGCATACGTCTATGAAGGTAAAATTAGTCAATATATACAACTGAGTCTTTTGAGGGGAATTTACTGGAGAGATCAACACTAATGGGACATGACTCCAACTCATATAAGAGATTGACACTACTCTTAATTTAAAACCTTAAGACATTAGGTTATGAGTCATATTTTCTTATATGTTGTTCAACTTTCTTATTCTTACATAATATGAGATTTAAAATTACACTTGTATTTCTTAACAATTTTTCCCTCAAACTCATTAGTAGTTTTTTCATGTATCGTCGTTCACTCTAATAAGACATGTTTATCTGACTCACATTGTCAGGAAGACTTTTTATACAAATACCACTCTGACCTACTGTCGATCAACCTTCAGCTCAGATACCACTTGTTGGGTTTTTTGAGGGGGATTTATTGGGGAGACCAATACCAATGAGACATGAGCCCAACTCATATAAGAGATTGATATCACTCTTAACCCAAAACCTTAAGGCATTAGGTTATGAGTCATATTTTCTCATATTTCTTTATATGTTGTTCAACTTTCTCATTTTTATTTAATATGAAACTTAACTCACACTTGGATTACCCAACAATCTTCCCTCAAGTGTGAGTCCCTTCACATTGGTACATCCCCTCGAGCTCACTAGTGACCCTTCCATGTACCGTCGTTTATCCTAACGGACACACTTACCTAACTCACTCTGTCAGGAAGACTTTCGATACAAAGACCACTTTTATCCACAGCCGATCAACCTTCAACTTTGATACCACTTGTTGGGTCTTTTGAGGGGAGATTCACAGGGGAGAAACACACTAATGAGACATGAGCTCAATCCATATAAGGGATTGATACCACTCTCAACCAAAAACCTTAAGACATTAGGTTATGAGTCATACTTCCTTATATGTTGCTCAACTTTCTCATTCTTACCCAATGTGGGATTTAGAAACACAATTTCTTAACAATCTCCTCCTCAAGTGTGAATTCTTCTACATTGGTAGTCCTTCTATGTACCACCGTTTACTCTAATGAGATACGCTTACCTAACCCACTATGTTAAGAAGACTTTCGATACAAAGACCACTCAAACTCATTGTCGATCAACCTTCGGCTCTGATATCACTTGTTCAGTCTTTGATGGAGATTCACAAGGGAGAAATACATCAATGAGACAATGAGTCAAACTCACATAAGGATTGACATCACTCTCAATCCAGAATCTTAAGACATTAGATTATAGGTCATACTTTCTTATATGTTGCTCAACTTTCTCATTCTTACTCAATGTAGAACTTAACTTACACTTGGATTATCCAACAATCTTCCCCTCAAGTGTGAGTCCCTTCACATTGATATATCCCCCTTGAGCTCACTAGTGACCCTTCCTTGTACCGCCGTTCACCCTAACGGGATATGCTTACCTGACTCACTCTGTCAGGAAGACTTTCGATACAAAGACCATTCTTATCTACTGTCGATCAACCTTCGGCTCTAATACTACTTGTTGGGTCTTTAGAGGGGGGATTCACAGGGGAGAAACACATTAATGAGACATGAGTTCAACCCATATAAGAGATTGACATCACTCTCAACCTAAAATCTTAAGACAGTAGGTTATGGGTTATACTTCCTTATATGTTGTTCAGCTTTCTCATTCTTACTTAATGTGAGACTTAGAATCACACTTGTATTTCTTAACAATTTTCCCCTCAAGTGTGAATTCCTCCACATTGGTACATCCCCTCAAACACATTAATAGTCCTTCCATGTACCGCCGTTTATTCTAACGGGACATGCTTACCTGACTTGCTCTGTCAGGAAGACTTTTGATACAAAGACCACTCAAACCCACTGCCGATCAACCTTTAGCTCTAATACTACTTGTTGGGTCTTTGAGGGAGATTCACAAGGGAGAAACACATCAATGAGACAATGAGCCAAACTCACATAAGGATTGACATCACTCTCAACTTAAACCCTTAAGGCATTAGGTTATGCATCATACTTTTTTATATGTTGCTTTACTTTCTTTTTCTTACTCAAAGTGAAACTTAACTCACACTTGGATTACCCAATATACATGATGTGCCAAATGATGTGCTGGCAGACTACTTGCATTAAGCTCTCACGATGACATTGACATTGGCTTGAAGAATGAAGGGATTTACAGTAATAATGAGGAGACTACAATTGCATGTGGTAAGCATCCATGCATGCAATCCAACTACCATCTCATTGGCACCTATATAATTTACTAGTATCATAACCTGTGCATTGCACAGGATTCTTGGAATTTTTATATCAATAATAAATAATACGTTAATATTAATAAAATAAGAAAAAAAAGTTATAAATGATCTTCAATTTGTAAACTTTTTAAATAAAAAATTTATATTGAAAAAGATTATATAAAATAAAAAAAACTTACAATTGTCGACCTATACAATTGTCGGTTATTGAATAAACTTTAATATATATATATATATATATATATATATATATATGTAACATTAGAATGGTAAATAAGAAGATCTACAATGATATAATTATAATTTTTGTAGTTGTAATGTGAGAGTTTTTACTTGATACATTTTCATAGAAAATAGTGCTCATTTGATTCTCATCTAATATTATGTGTTATTACTTTGTAATGTGAATTAAAAAAAAAAAATTAATAATACAGATTCAATTCAACTAAAGAAAAAATTTTGCAACGACATAAAAAAAAACTTTGTTAAACCTATACTATAAGGCTCGTACTGGAAAACTCGCGAATGATATTGATTTTCTTCTTCTTTGTGTGTAGGGTGTTTAAACTCATTCTCATCTGACATTTCAAAACCAAAATAGTTAATAATTATATAATTGATAAAATATGAAATAAACAAAGATGAAATGCGAAATATAATAATATCAAACCTATCATATGAACATTTTTAGCAATCAACTTTTGTTGCAGAATGAACTTCCTTCTTGTTCTTACCTATTTTAAATCATTTGGTTCAATTACTTTAAAATATGTAATTTTGCTACATACAAAGTGATATAAGATGAGTATTAAAGAGAATGAAATATACAGAGGCGAAGAATGCACTAAAAAGTATTTGACCTTCTAATATATTTTGTCTATTTACTATTAAAGTATAATTATAATATCTACTCTCTCAAAAAGTGTTACTATATTAGTGTAAGGTTACTTGTATTATTTGTATAAAATAATTACACTTTTCTCCAATAATAATTACTTTTTTTCTGCAACATACTTGGATAAATTCATTTAACAAAAAAGAGTAACAAAATATAATAATGACATAACGAAAATACTAAAATAAGTTACTTGGTTATAGATTATAGTAATAAGTTTATTTGTTTGATACTTTGGAGAAGGTAAAGAGCAAAATCAACTTTGAACATTGAACTGCAATTTATGATTTACAAATAAGGTAATTATTTTTGAACA